GAGGAGCTCATTTTCAGGCACTATATGACAGTGTTTATCTCTTATTCATAAGGTTTTCAGTGACTAAATATTTGGAAGTAGTTTGTCACTCCTTCTTCCTACTCTGTCTTCGTCTGGAAGCGCATCTGAAACCTGTCCACCATGGGTGACCCTGTTGGTATTTAAAATACCCGTGGCATACCTTCAGAATCACAGCAACTCACAAGCCACCACAGTACAACAAACCAACAGACAAGTGGTGGGGATCTTTCTATAGCACAATTTAAACTGCACACCTTCTGTTTCCTAGTTACCCCACTGGAATTATTTTAAAAGCACAACAAAAACTTTTGTATAATTGATTGCATATCAAATATTTTTAACAAAGCTTTCTTGTGCTTGTTGTAAATAGAAATTTTACCCTTATAAAAATCATGATTTCCTTCTATATTCTAAAATTTATGAGCTGTCATAAATTTGACTCATGATCACCCCAAGTGTGTCAAAGTGGAAATGTGCTTAATACGCTTTTTAGAATTAGATCAGTATGCTTTTTTTCTGAGCTGCTTGTGTTGATTCTATTTTTATTGTGTGCCATTGAGTATGGTAGAGTCAAATCTTCAACCTTTCAGTTAGCACCTCAACCCTTTGCACCACTGAACATTCATTTATGTAAGCTCTATAATTTAACACCAAACCTACAAGTGTCAAGTTAATTCTAACTCATAGCCACTCTATAAGATGGAATAGAACAACTTTGCAGTGTTTCTGAGAAAAAAAATCCTTTAAGGAAGCATACTGCTACATCTTTTGCCCAAGGAGAGGCTCACAGGTTTGAACCACCAAACTTTTGGCTAGCAGCCCAATGCTTAACCCACTGTATATCTGTAAAAGATTAAGTTACCTTCTAAAATATGTTAATGAGAATCAATTTTACTTTATGCTTTGTATAAGTAATAATAAATCCATTGTATAGACATTACTGGTTATTTAAAAGAATATAAATCATTGTTTTGTATTAAATACCATTCACATGTGTGAGGGTCCATATTCTATTGATTTCTGGAGAAGCATTTGCCAAGGAGAAGGAAAACGGAGGGCCATTGACAACATCATCAGGATCAACAGCTGAAATTTCAGTATAGGCCATTTTTGGTTTGCAAATTGTTACATCATTTTGAACCATTTCTGGTGGATTATCATTCACATCTTCAATGTTCACAGCAAGGGTCCCAGTACACGATCTACCATCTAGAAAGAAAATGAATAAGGTTTAATGTCGTTATAAAAATCTTTTAGAGTTTCCTAAGCAAAAATCAGCTCTAGTAGCATAGTGATTATGAATTGGGCTGCTAATCTCATGGTCAACAGTTCGAAACTACCAGCTGTTCTGAGGGAGAAAAATGAGCTTTCTGCTCCCGTAAAGATTGACAGCCTCACAAAGGCTGTACAGGGTTGCTATGAGTCGGAACCGACTCCACAGTACATAACAACAACAACAAGCAAAATTTGGAATCTTGGTGTGGCACTACAGGTTAAATGCATTAGACTGCTTGGTCAGTTTGACCACCAGGTTGGCAGTTCAAGCCTATACAAGGTCGCTATTGGTCAAAACCGACCTGACGGTACTTAAAAACAGGAAAAAATCAGTTCTAGTCTTTAACAGTAGATCATCTCTTTAAAAAAAATAAAAAACTCCATTGTTAGAGGAAATCATAAACAAGAAGATGGATAAGTAAGACTACAGATAATACAAAATGATAACTACTGTTGACAATGCCAGAGAAAACTGCCAAAGAACCTTTCACTAGAATTATTCTTGAATAATGAACAACTATCTGAATTTCAAACTTTATTTCCTTGGGTTTCTTCTGGTATTGCTAGTAAGGAGCAGTAAAGTGGATACAGAAAAGTGACTTTAAATCAAGCTACACACGCAAATCTCTTTTGCTGTTATTGGGTGCTGTTAAGTTGGTTCCAACTCATAGTGATCCCATGTACAACAAAATG